GGAAAGCTGACGTTTCGGGTCTAGACCCTTCTTCAGAGATTGCTGTCCCATGTGGGGGAGAAGAGAGAGAGAGAGAGACAAACAATTGGTGGTTTAACCTGAAGGTCACCACTGCTCAGGCAAGGGGAGAGGTTGAGAAGGATCTCTCATCTTTATAGTAGCCTCTGCGAGTGTAGCAATTGAACCTACACTGTTAGCGCATTGAGCCAGCAATCCAGCCAACTGAGCTAACTGAGCCCTTAACGTTCACTGTGCACTTGCGGGATGTGGTTTATCGCTGCCTGGGCCAGTATTTATTGCCCCTCCCTATTTGCCCTTTGAGAAGGTGATGGTTGTTGCCTGCTCGAGCCGCTGTAGTAGACCTACAATGTTGTTAGGGAGGGAGCTTGTTCTGAGTGTTAACTGCATGTAGCTAACGCGTAAAGTGACCTTAATCTGATGTCTCACGAGAGCTAATTGTGTGCCTTCGATGTCAGCTAAGACCGAGTCTATCTGCTACCAAAGACTTTGTGTGGGCATCCTTACCCATTTAGCGACTTCGACTCAACCAACAAGAAATTGGTGGCAGCAAATCTACCCATCACGTTCCGTATGGTTTCAGTCGAAACTAGAATATATCACATGGTGGCAGCGGTGACAATCTGTATTTAACTACAGTCCCTGCTTACCTCTGCAACCTCCTCCAGCCATACAACCCTCCAAAGGTCGAATTCGGGCACTACGCCAGTTCTGGTTTTTTGCTCATTTCTGCCCCACAAAACCCCATCACACCCATCTTTACCTTCAAATTCTGGAATTCCCTCGCCCCTCTCCTCCTTAAAATCTGACCCCACTTCATGACCAGCTCGCTCTCCTATGATCTCCTCACGTGACATGATCTCAAGCTGAGTCTCGCAACAGTCCCAGGACAGCGCCTTGGGGTCGTCCTTTCCAGTTTAATGGCGCTAGACCAATGCACGTGGATTTGCGGAAGCTGAGGCTTGCTGTGACACTAGTAAGTGTTTTGAGGGATTTAGTTTGTCGCAGTTGCTGTTCTCAATGACATTAATCACAAGCCAGAGACAGATTGCTCACGATAGCTAACACAAACATGCAGCTATTTATAATAGGATTAGAATAACCCCCCACGCAGCGGTGACAGGGCGCAGAGAAAATATTGAGGCTAAATCGGGGCCAAGGAAATGGAACAAAAGGTCTCAGGTTACTCTGACTGCTTCAGCTGCTTTGTAATTCATGAAATTATTTAAAGGGAGAACCATGGGCTGGTTATAACTCCTGTTGCTGGAACTGAGGGCTGTTGGTTAAGTTAATATAAGGCTCAAAGACCAAGCATACAAGGTAGGTCATGGCCTAGTGGTATTGTCGCTAGACTATTAACCTAGAGACTTCCCCCCAGATAATGAACGTTTTGAGGATCTGATTTCGAATCCTACCAGGGTCAGATGGTGGAATTTGGATTCAATAAAAATCTGGCATCTAACAGTGACTGTTGGCACGCTCATCAATTGTTGGCAGCACCCATCTGGTTCACGAATGTCAGAGAATCCCTGCAGTGTGGACACAGGCCATTTGGCCCATCAAATCTATACCAACCCTCTAAAGAGCATCCCACCCCACTACCCTCTCCCTGTATTTCCTATGGCTAATCCACCTAGCCTGGACACTATGGGGCAATTTAGCATGGACTGTGGGAGGAAACCGGAGCACCCGGAGGAAACCCACGGAGAGACGGGGAGAATGTGCAAACTCCACACAGACAGTCGCCCGAGGGTGGAATCGAACCCGGGTCCCTGGCGCTGTGAGGCTGCAGTGCTAACCCAAATGACCTTTAGGGAAGGGCTGGTCTGGTCCTACATGTGACTCCAGGTCCACAGCAATGTGGTTGACTCTTAAGTGCCTCCAGAGCGGCACGGTGGCTCAGTGGTTAGCACTGCTGCCTCACAGCACCAGGGACCCTATTAAAGGAAGGATATTATTAAGCTGGAGATGGTTCAGAAAAGATTTACCAGGATGTTGTTGGGACTGGAGGGTTTGAGTTATAAGGAGAGGCTGGGTAGGCTGGGACTTTTTTCACTGGAGCGTAGGAGGTTGAGGGGTGACCATATAGAGGTTTATAAAATCATGAGGGGTACAGATAGAGTTAATGGTAGTTGCCTTTTCCCTCAGATGGGGGATTACAAGACAAGGGGGCATACTTCTAAGGTGAGAGGAGAGAGATTTAAAAAAAAGACATAAAGAAGCTAAGCTTTTACAGAGAGAGTGGTTTGCATGTATAATGAACTTCCTGAGGAAGTGGTGGATGTGGGTACAATTACAACATTTTAAAGACATTTGGATACGTACATGAATGGGAAAGGTTTGGAGGGATATGGGCCAGGAGCAGGCAGCTGGGACTAGTTTGGTTTGGGATTATGGTTGGCATGGACTGGTTGGGCTGAAGGGTCTGTTTCCGCGCTGTCTGACTCTGTGACTCTGAAAGTTGTGGATTCCACTCCCCAATCTAGCTGAATGCACACTCGAGATTATTCAGCGGGTGCTGTCCAAAAACCATCACCCTGGCAATGTCTCCGTCCCTCGCCAACTAATCAGCACCCTTTTCCCCCTGTAATATAAATTGTTGTGATTGTTTGAGATTTGGCACTCTTGCATTGGGTCCTGAGGCATGCAGGGCGATACATATCTCTGTTCAGCAAACCTCTGCATGACTGAACCACCACTACATTACAGAGAGCCGTCGCAGGTTTGATGGGCCAAACGGTCCCTGTTGGAGCAGTACAATTCTGTTAGGCAGCCCCTCACCCACCCCCAACAGCTCCTGCTCGCTGGTCTCTGGGTCTAGATGGAAGTCGATGGCAGTTAGATATGAATGAAGGCCTTGTCTTTGCCGAATGCCCTCTCCTGTTCCTTGCCTCCCGTTGCAGATATTTCCGGATCCCTTGGAACGTGGTGACGAATGTTACCGGAGGATCAGCGGCCGTCTGCCCTCGATTACAGTGGAGCTAACGGACGTGGGCGAGGTGGAGAGCGGAGAGCTACGTTGGCCTCCTGAGGAGCCCAGCCCCTGTACAGTTGTTGAGGACCTCTTTAAGGCCACCAGTGAGCAGGAAAGTCCCAGAGAAACCCAGCCAGGGCTAAGTGAAGCCACGCCTCCCGGTAAGACACTTTGCCGATTCCAATGAAGGAGGCTGCTCCTCTACCTTTGCTGGTGCGAGGGGCGCGGGAGGTGGTGGGGGGTGGGGGGGGGGGGTGGGGGTGGGGGGGGGGGAGGTGGTGGGGGGTGGTGGGGGGCTTTATGGTGAACACTCTATCACTCCACGGTGACATAATCAGAATCAACGAACTGGCAACTTTCAATTTCAATCCCCCACTGTCAATATCCTGGGGGCCACCATTGACCACAACTGGCCTCACCACAGAAACACAGCAGGTACGAGAGCAGGCCAGAGGCTGGGAATACTGCAGCGAGTAACTCAGAAGTGGGGATGTTCGCCGATGATTGCACAATGTTCAGCACCATTCGAGTCTCCTCAGATCCTGAAGCAGTCCGTGTTCACATGCAACAAGATCTGGACAATATCCAGACTTGGGCTGATAAATGGTAACTGACATTTGCACCCACACAAATACCAGGCATCACCAATAAGAGACATTAAATGGTGTTACCATCACTGAATCCCCCACTATCAACATCCTGGGGGTTATCATTGACCAGAAACTCAACTGGACTCACCACAAAAACACAACGGCTACAGGAGCAGGTCAGAGGCTGGGAATCCTGCAGCGAGTAACTCCCCTCCTGACTCCCCAAAGCCCGTCCACCATCTGCAAGGCACAAGCCAGGAGTGTGAGGGAATACTCCCCACTTGCCCCTGGATGGGGGCAGCTCCAACAACACTCAAGAAGCTCGACACCATCCAGGACAAAGCAGCCCCCGCTTTATTGGCACCACATCCACAAACATCCCACTCCCTCCACCACCGACACTCAGTAACAGCAGTGTGTACCATCTACAAGATGCGCCGCAGAAATTCACCAAAGATCCTCAGACAGGACCTTCCAAACCCATGACCACTTCCATCTAGAAGGACAAGGGGCAGCAGATACATGGGAACGCCACCCCGTGTGAGTTCCCCATCAAGCCGCTCACCATCTTGACTTGGAAATGTATTGCCGTTCCTTCAGTGTCACTGGGTCAAAATCTTGGAATTCCCTCCCTAAGGGCGTTGTAGATGTCCCTGGTGTAGTGATTGGAACGCGGTCAGCCAGGGGGACCTCACAGAATCTGAGTTCCCTGACTGTGGCTGTTAACCTGGCCCTATCAGGGAGCCCTGACTGACAGATATAAACAGGAGTGTCAGGGGCTGTGCTCACTCTGAGAGCTGGCTCTGAGGTAGCTATATCAGTGTCAAGGACACTCCGTGAGTAAATAAAGGGTGGTGGGATACCGGTCTCTGTGGAGTTAGTTCACCTACACCACAGAGACCCCAGCAACTCAAGAAGTTGGCTCACTACCTCTTTCTTAAGAACAAAGAGAATGGGCACTCAATGCTGGCACAGACAGTGTCACCCATATTCTTTGAAAGTGTGAAAATAACTCGATAGTGCGCACTGACAGCGTGGTTATTTTACGGAACTGAGATTGTCTCGTTTTGTCCTCTTCTCCAGTGCATCTTTTCTTCACATCATTCTCTCTTAAAATAAAGACGTGAAGGTGTTAGAGAAAAGCAGAAATTGCTGGAGAAACTCAGCAGGTCTGGCAGCGTCTGTGGTGAGAGATAAACAGAGTTTAACGTTTTGGGTCCAGTGGCCCACGACTCGGAACACCTCTTTCTCCACAGATGCTGCCAGAACTGCTGAGTTTCTCCAGCAATTTCTGTTTTCCTTTCAAATCTCCAGCATCCACAGTTCTTTGCTTTTAATTTATGTGGAAGTGTTCAAGGGTGCAGCAAAAGAGATTACAAGAATGGTTTTGGGGACGGGGTTCTTTAGTGAAATGGTTAGTTTACTGAAGTGGGAACTGTTTCCCTTTGAGAAAGGCTCAATGGTCAGCATCATTGCCTCACAGCCCCAGGGACCTGGGTTCGATTCCACTCTCGAGTGACTGTCTGTGTAGTGTTTGCACATTGTCCCCATGTCTGCGTGGGTTTCCTCCGGGTGCTCCGGTTTCCTCCCACAGTCCAAAGACGTGCAAATTAGTTGGATTGGCTGTGCTAAATTGCCCCATAGTGTCCACGGATGTGCAGGTCAGGGTGGATTGGCCATGCTAAATTGCCCCATAGTGCCCAAAGGTGTGCAGGTTAGGGTGGATTGGCCATGCTAAATTGTCCCATAGTGCCCAGGAATGTGCAGGTTAGGATGGATTGGCCATGCTAAATTACTCCATAGTGCCCAGGAATGTGCAGGTTAGGATGGATTGGCCGTGCTAACTTACCCCATAGTGCCCAGGGATGTGCATATTAGGGTGGATTGGCTGTGCTAAATTGTCCTGTAGTGCCCAGGGATGTGCAGGTTAGGGTGGATTGGCCGTGGGAAATGAAGTGTTACAGCGATGGGGTGAGTTGGGGGTGGTGTTGCAAAGTTGGATAGAGTATTTTTGGGTTGGAAGGCAGGATGTAAGAGTTTGATGTTTATATAAAGATGGGGGGGAAGAGAGTGTGGACCCTTTAAAGGATGATGTGCTTTTTTGTGTTTAGGTATCCAAAAAAAATCTGTGGGCAGCAGTTTGTGGGTTACATGGACATCTCCTGAAATTGGAACGTTTGTATCAAAGGCTGTGTGGATAGCAATCCAGGCAGCAGTTTTGTTTTGTTAGCAAGACAACCAGTATGAGTAACAGCCAACTAATTTAAACCAGGCACTTCGAGACTAAAAACCAATTAAATTTAAATCTGATGGTTTTGTCAACATCAGACCAATCCCATTGTAAGAGATTGATATGTCATCAAGGGTATAAAAGAAGAGGGCATTTCAAAATTTGTCTGAGAGCAAGTGCCATCTGTTAGAGTTAACAACCAGCAGCGGGTTAAGGAGAAAATCACTGGCTCTCACAGAATTCTCAAAGCTCTCAGAGTAACCATCATCTGACTAAAGGTACAGCTGCACTCTTAGCTAATACTCCTGACACAAGAATTCAACAGAGAAAGGGGTTCCTGACTGAAGATCAGCAGAGAAAGCACAGAACATTCTGGAATACGTATCCTGGCCATAATTTCGAGAGACTAGGCTTTAATATTTTAAAAATATTTCTGTTTATATCAGTGGGATTGGTATTTATTGGAACAGCATACCATTAGAATCTTGTTTTATTCGAGAATGTTTGGTAGTCAGAGGGGAATCGTTTAGTTTGTTAACAGCTCAGTTAATTTGTTCACTGTTAGAGTTAGATAAATAAATAGTTACTTGGTGATTATAGAGCGAGGGTCAGTTTATTTCATTTAACCACTGCTTTATAACAGAATGGGGGTGAGAGGTAGGTTACACCACTTTCACACCTCTTTTAACAGATTATAAAGTGAGACGAGCCCCTCTGAGTGTTTCGGCTTTAGTTATCAGAGGGGATGTCTACCTCCACTTTATGGCAATGGGGCTGGGTTGAATGTTGTTGGAGGGCCCATGTAGGCTCATTGGGCCAAATGGCCTACTTCCACACTGTAGGGATTCTATGAAACACACAGCGAATGGTTAGGGGTTGGTTAGCTTTGATGGTTGGATGGCTGCTTTGCTAATGCCAACAGCGTGGGTTCAATTCCTGTACCTGCTGAGGTTACCATGAAGGACTCTCCTTCACAACCTCTTCCCTCGCCTGAGGCGTGGTGACCCTCAGGCTAACCACCATCAGTTGTCTCTCTGTCATGACAGAGCAGCCCCATGGTCTAGCAGGACTATATTAGCACAACCTTGGACTAAAACAGGGACAGACTCAAATGAGATTTTCAAGAGGGGATTAGATGAGATAAAATTATCAACAAAACTACGAGGGGAGGAGTGGGGGAGAAGTCAGCAGAGAGGAACAAGCTGACAAGCATTTGAGGAGGGACCTAAGGGGCAACTTTTTCACACAGAGGGTGGTGTGTGTATGGAATGAGCTGCCAGAGGAAGTGGTGGAGGCTGGTACAATTACAACATTTAAAAGGCATCTGGATGGGTACATCAATAGGAAGGGTTTACAGGGATAGGGGCCAAATGCTGGTAAATGGGACTAGATTAATTTAGGATATCGGGTCAGCACAGACGAGTTGGACCAAAGGGTCTGTTTCAGTGCTGTACGTCTCTATGAAGCTATGACTCTAAGAGAGACAGCACAGGCCTCAATGGCTTGAATGGCCTCATTCTGTGTTGTCACTGCTCCACAACTCGATACAGATCAGAATTCCACAGTGATGGACAAAACTACACAGTAAACAGTAATGAGTAACACCTCTGTCACGCTTTCTACCCCACCTGCACCCTTCCCTAATCCTCCCTTTTCTTGCTCCCCCCTCCACCCGTTTACTGTCTCCGTGATACCATACCCGAATGTCCATATTCCACATGGGTGAGTCTGGAAGTCCTGCTGAAAGTTCTAGAAGATCCGGTATGAAATTCCAATCCCACCCTTATCCCCATTACCAGTGGATTAAACCCCACTGTAACCTATGGAGCGACTTCATCCCTGAGAAAGAAACAAGATAAGAGCTGTGTTTTTACTCTCTCCTGGCCAGGCCTGCTGGTGTTGTCCATCCCTAATTGCCCCCTGAACTGAACGCCTTGCTACAGCCATTTCAGAGGGCAGTTAACAGCCAATCACATTGCTGTGGGTCTGGAGTTACATTTAGGCCAGACCAGGAGGTAGGCAGGGGCAAGGTCATGGAGGAGATTACAGAGATAGGGAGGGGTGAGGTGTTGGAGGGAGTTACAGAGATA